GTTGATGTAGCTTAACCTTAAAGCAAGGCACTGAAAATGCCTAGATGAATTAACCAATTCCATAAACACAAATGCTTGGTCCTGGCTTTTTTATTAGTTTAGCGCAAAATTATACATGCAAGTCTCCCCCCGCCAGTGAGAATGCCCTTAAAATCTTAAACTGACAAAAAGGAGCGGGTATCAAGTACACTACCAAGTAGCTCAAGACACCTTGCTTAGCCACACCCCCACGGGAAACAGCAGTAATTAATATTAAGCAATGAACGAAAGTTTGACTTAATTATGCGATCAGACTAGGGTTGGTAAATATCGTGCCAGCCACCGCGGTTATACGATTAACCCAAATTAATAAAACCCGGCGTAAAGAGTGTTTAGGGAAAACAATCAGACTAAGATTAAATTCTATCTAGGTCGTAAAAAACTTCAGATAAGACAAACCCACTACTATCTACGAAAGTAATCTTAACAAACCTGAACACACGACAGCTATGGTTCAAACTGGGATTAGATACCCCACTATGCTTAGCCGTAAACATAAAATATTATAACAACAAAATATTTCGCCAGAGAACTACTAGCAACAGCTTAAAACTCAAAGGACTTGACGGTGCTTTAAACCCATCTAGAGGAGCCTGTTCTATAATCGATAAACCCCGTTAAACCTCACCATTTCTGGCTACTTCAGTCTATATACCGCCATCTTCAGCGAACCTCTACAGGGGACAAAAGTAAGCTCAAGTACTGTCATAAAAACGTTAGGTCAAGGTGTAACCAATGAAATGGGAAGAAATGGGCTACATTTTCTTATACAAGAACATAAACGATAGTTACCATGAAATCTGATAACACAAGGTGGATTTAGTAGTAAAACAAGAATAGAGAGCTTGTTTGAACGTGGCCATGAAGCACGCACACACCGCCCGTCACCCTCCTTAAACTCTAAAGACTAACAATACTATATTAAACAGTCAACATGGAACTAAAGGAGACAAGTCGTAACAAGGTAAGCATACTGGAAAGTGTGCTTGGACAAACAAAACGTAGCTTAAGAAAAGCATCTAGCTTACACCTAGAAGACATCATGATTATGATCGATTTGAACTAACACTAGCCCAAACTATCGCCAATAAACTAATTCCCTATTTAAAATAAAACATTCACACAGAAAAAGTATAGGAGATAGAAATTTATCCACGGAGCCATAGAAAAAGTACCGCAAGGGAAAGATGAAAGAATTAATTCACAGTACAACAAAGCATAGATTAACCCTATTACCTTTTGCATCATGAATTAACTAGAAATATATTTACAAAAAGCCCCTGTGTAAATAACCCCGAAACCAAACGAGCTACTTTTGAGCAGCTAACAATGAGCAAACCCGTCTATGTAGCAAAATAGTGGGAAGATTTAAAAGTAGAGGTGAAAAGCCTACCGAGTTTGGTGATAGCTGGTTGTCCAAACAAGAATATCAGTTCAACTTTAAGCCATTTCCAAAGAAAAATAAATCTTAATAAAGACTTAAAAGCTAATCTATAGAGGGACAGCTCTATAAATAAGGAAAAACCTTGCATAGAGGGTAAAGTAACAACACCACCACAGTAGGCCTAAGAGCAGCCATCAATTAAGAAAGCGTTCAAGCTCAACAAACCACATAAAACACAATACCAAAACTAAGAACTGACCCCCTAAACTAAAATTGGACTAATCTATAAAAACATAGAAGAAATAATGTTAATATTAGTAACAAGAAATTATTCTCCGGGCACAAGTTTATATCTAACCGAATAATCACTGATAGTTAACAATTATATAAAAACAAACACATATTAACAACTTATTTACACAACTGTTAACCCAACACAGGAGTGCCGCAAGGAAAGACTAAAAAAAGTAAAAGGAATTCAGCAAACACAAATCTCGCCTGTTTACCAAAAACATCACCTCTAGCATGACGAGTATTAGAGGCACTGCCTGCCCAGTGACGCCAAAGTTCAACGGCCGCGGTATTCTGACCGTGCGAAGGTAGCATAATCACTTGTTCTTTAAATAAGGACTTGTATGAATGGCCAAACGAAGATTTTTCTGTCTCTTACTTTCAGTCAGTGAAATTGACTTCCCCGTGAAGAGGCGGGGATAACAAAATAAGACGAAAAGACCCTTTGGAGCTTCAACTACCTAATTTATACAGATTAACAATATCAACTAACTGTGTCAAATTACACGTTTTGGTTGGGGTGACCTCGGAGAACAACACAACCTCCGAATGATACTAACCTAGACTAAACAAGTCAAAGTAACTATCATAAATTGACCCAATACAAATTGATCAACGAAACAAGTTACCCTAGGGATAACAGCGCAATCCTATTTTAGAGCCCCTATCGACAATAGGGTTTACGACCTCGATGTTGGATCAGGACATCCTAATGGTGTAGACGCTATTAAGGGTTCGTTTGTTCAACGATGAAAGTCCTACGTGATCTGAGTTCAGACCGGAGCAATCCAGGTCGGTTTCTATCTATTTATATATTCCTCCCAGTACGAAAGGACAAGAGTAATGGAGCCAATTAACCAATAACGCCCTCACAACAAAAGGATGAAGACAAATCAATCCAACAATTGTTCCAAACAAAAGCCCTAGAAAAGGGCTCGTTAAGGTGGCAGAGCCCGGTAATTGCATAAAACTTAAAACTTTACCATCAGAGGTTCAACTCCTCTCCTTAGCAACTAATGCACATCATCAATACACTACTACTACTAGTCCCAATTCTATTAGCAATAGCATACCTTACACTAATAGAACGAAAACTCCTGGGCTACATACAACTACGAAAAGGCCCTAACATCGTCGGCCCGTACGGAATCCTCCAGCCAATCGCAGACGCTCTAAAACTATTCATTAAAGAGCCATTAAAGCCATCAGCCTCATCCATCTCATTATTTATCATCTCCCCCATACTCGCCCTAACCCTAGCCCTATCCATATGAATCCCTCTCCCCATACCCCACCCCCTCATCAATATAAACCTAGGAATCCTATTTATCCTAGCAACCTCAAGCTTAGCTGTATACTCAATCCTATGGTCAGGATGAGCATCAAACTCCAAGTACGCCTTACTAGGAGCACTACGAGCCGTAGCCCAAACAATCTCTTACGAAGTCTCCCTAGCCATCATCCTACTATCAGTACTACTCCTAAGCGGCTCATTCACACTAGGCACCCTTATGGAAACCCAAAAATACACATGATTGATCCTACCAACATGACCCCTAGCCATAATATGATTTATCTCAACCCTAGCAGAAACCAACCGAGCCCCCTTCGACCTAGCCGAAGGAGAATCGGAGTTAGTCTCTGGATTCAACGTAGAATACGCAGCAGGACCCTTCGCACTATTCTTCATAGCAGAATACATTAATATCATTATAATAAATGCCCTGACCACCATTATCTTTATCAGCACATCCCCAATATCCACCAACCCAGAAAATTTTACAATATACTTCACAATTAAAACCCTTATACTAACCTCCTTATTCCTATGAATCCGAGCCTCATACCCCCGATTCCGGTATGATCAACTCATACACTTATTGTGAAAAAATTTTCTACCAATATCACTAGCCATATGTATATGACACATTTCTTTCCCCATCGGACTATTCGGAACACCCCCACAAACAACCTAGAAATATGTCTGAAAAAAGAGTTACTTTGATAGAGTGAACCATGAAGGTTTGAACCCTTCTATTTCTAGAATAATAGGACTTGAACCTAACCCAAAGAGACCAAAACTCCTCGTGCAACCAATACACTATATCCTAATAGTAAGGTCAGCTAAACAAGCTATCGGGCCCATACCCCGAAAATGTTGGTCCACGCCTTCCCGTACTAATTAACCTCATCTCCAATAGCGTCATCTACCTCACCCTAATTTCAGGGACACTAATTACACTTACCAGTTCCCATTGATTACTAATATGAGCAGGACTAGAAATAAGCATATTCGCCATAATCCCAATCCTCACGCACAAAACAAGCCCACGATCCACAGAAGCCGCAACCAAGTACTTCTTAGTCCAAGCAACAGCATCCATAATATTTATAATAACAATCATTTACTCCGTGGCCCTCTCAGGCCAATGGGCTATCATACACTCACAAAACCAAACAATCTCTTCAATCCTAATATTATCCCTAATAATAAAACTAGGACTTGCCCCATTCCACCTATGAGTGCCCGAAGTAACTCAAGGGGCCAACCTGTGATCAGGAATAATCCTGCTCACATGACAAAAAATCGCCCCCCTATCCATCATGTACCAAGCCTACTCCTCAGCAAACCAAACAATAATCATCTCATTCTCCCTCCTATCAATTCTACTAGGGGGCTGAGGAGGCTTAAACCAAACACAACTACGAAAAATCCTAGCCTACTCCTCAATCTCCCACATAGGATGAATAACAACAGTAATATGCTTCAACCCCTCAATCATACACCTAAACCTTCTAATCTACATTATACTCACACTATCCATATTCTCCATACTATCTATCAACACAAACACCACCACCCTCTCACTATCACACTTATGAAACATCTCACCTATCCTAGCCAACACCATCCTAATCATCCTCCTATCTCTAGGAGGCCTCCCCCCACTTACCGGTTTCATACCCAAATGAATAATCATTACAGAGATAACAAAAAACCAAAGCATCATCCTACCCACACTAATGGCAATAATAGCTCTACTAAACCTATTCTTCTACATACGCCTAGCTTACTCAACATCACTAACACTATTTCCATCAACAAATAACCTAAAAATAAAATGGTACATCCAAAACACCAAAATACCATACCTGCTACCCCCACTAATTATTGTATCTACACTCATACTACCCCTATCCCCCATAATGACAACACTAGAATAGGAAATTAGGTTAACAAGACCAAGAGCCTTCAAAGCTCTAAGTAAATATACACAACATTTATTTCCTGAAATAAGGATTGTAAAAATCACATTTACATCAACTGGACGCAAACCAAACACTTTCATTAAGCTAAATCCTCATAGATTGGTGGGCTACTACCCCACGAAACTCTAGTTAACAGCTAAATACCCTAACATGCTGGCTTCAATCTACTTCTCCCGCCTATAAAAAAAACAAAGGCGGGAGAAGCCCCGGCAGATCTAATCTACTTCTTCGAATTTGCAATCCGACATGAAATTTCACTACAAAGCCTGGCAAAAGGGGCTCCCCGCCCCGTCTTTAGATTTACAGTCTAATGCTTCCACTCAGCCATTTTACCAATGTTCATTAACCGCTGACTATTTTCCACAAATCATAAAGATATTGGTACGTTGTACCTGCTATTTGGGGCATGAGCAGGAATAACTGGAACAGCCCTAAGCATTCTAATCCGTACTGAACTAGGGCAACCCGGTACTCTATTGGGGGATGACCAGATCTACAACGTCATCGTCACCGCACATGCATTCATTATAATCTTCTTCATAGTTATACCCATCATAATCGGAGGATTCGGAAACTGATTGGTCCCACTAATAATTGGAGCCCCTGACATAGCATTCCCACGAATAAACAACATGAGCTTCTGACTTCTACCCCCCTCTTTCCTCCTGCTCCTAGCCTCATCAATAGTAGAAGCCGGCGCCGGGACAGGATGGACGGTCTACCCTCCTCTAGCAGGTAACCTAGCACACGCAGGGGCCTCTGTAGACCTAACAATCTTTTCACTACACCTAGCAGGTGTATCCTCAATCCTCGGGGCAATTAACTTCATCACTACAATCATCAACATAAAACCACCGGCAATATCCCAATACCAAACACCATTATTCGTCTGATCCGTACTAATCACAGCAGTACTTCTCCTGTTATCCCTACCAGTCCTAGCCGCAGGAATTACAATACTACTTACCGACCGAAATCTAAACACCACTTTTTTCGACCCCGCTGGAGGAGGAGACCCAATTCTATATCAACATCTATTCTGATTCTTCGGCCACCCAGAAGTGTATATCCTAATCCTCCCAGGATTCGGAATGATTTCACATATTGTTACCTATTACTCGGGAAAAAAAGAGCCATTCGGTTACATAGGAATAGTATGAGCCATAATATCCATTGGCTTCCTGGGCTTCATCGTCTGAGCCCACCACATATTCACAGTAGGAATAGACGTAGACACCCGAGCATACTTTACATCCGCAACAATAATCATTGCAATCCCCACAGGAGTAAAAGTATTCAGCTGACTAGCAACCCTGCACGGAGGAGACATCAAATGATCTCCAGCAATACTATGAGCCTTGGGGTTCATCTTCCTGTTCACCGTAGGAGGTCTAACTGGAATTGTCCTAGCAAACTCCTCCCTAGACATTGTCCTACACGACACGTACTACGTAGTCGCACACTTCCATTATGTCTTATCCATAGGAGCCGTATTCGCCATTATAGCTGGCTTTGTTCACTGATTCCCCCTATTCTCAGGGTACACTCTCGACCCCACATGAGCTAAAATCCAATTCTTCGTAATATTTATTGGAGTAAATATAACATTCTTTCCACAACACTTCCTAGGCCTATCAGGCATGCCCCGACGATACTCCGACTACCCGGACGCCTATACAATATGAAACACACTGTCCTCTATAGGATCTCTTATTTCCCTGACAGCAGTAATAATGATAGTCTTCATAATCTGAGAAGCTTTCGCCTCGAAACGAGAGGTACTCATAACCGAAATAACCTCCACCAACTTAGAATGAATTCACGGCTGTCCTCCACCCTTCCACACATTTGAAGAACCCACATACATCAAAATATAATCGAGAAAGGAAGGAATCGAACCCCCAAAAGCCAGTTTCAAGCCAGCCCTGCAACCATTACCACTCTCTCAACAGCAAGATATTAGTAAAACCATTACTCATCCTTGTCAAGGACGAATCATTAGTTAAAACCTAATATATCTTAATGCCCTATCCCCATCAACTCGGATTTCAAGATGCTACCTCCCCTATTATAGAGGAACTGCTATACTTTCACGACCACACACTAATAATCGTATTCCTAATCAGCTCACTAGTGCTCTACACTATCTCCACCATGCTCAGCACAAAACTAACCCACACTAACACTATAAACGCCCAAGAAATTGAAATGGTATGAACCATCCTACCCGCCATAATCCTCATTCTAATTGCACTGCCCTCCCTACGAATCCTATATATAATTGATGAAGTCAACGACCCATCACTAACAGTAAAGACCCTAGGTCATCAATGATACTGAAGCTACGAGTATACAGACTACGAAGAACTTTGCTTCGACTCTTACATAGTACCAAGCACGGATTTAAAACCAGGAGAACTACGACTTCTTGAAGTAGACAATCGAGTTGTCCTCCCAATAAAAACCCCCGTACGAATACTGATTTCATCTGAAGACGTACTACACTCATGAGCCATTCCATCCTTAGGATTAAAAACAGACGCAGTCCCAGGACGTCTAAATCAAACAACCCTTATATCTTCACGGCCTGGGCTATTTTACGGTCAATGTTCCGAAATCTGTGGATCAAACCACAGTTTCATACCCATTGTAATCGAAATAGTGCCCCTAAAAACATTCGAAAGCTGATCATCATCAATAACATAAAACATTATGAAGCTATAGCAGCATTAACCTTTTAAGTTAAAGATAGAGAAATACTAAACTCTCCATAATGACATGCCACAACTAGACACATCAACGTGATTTATAATAATTACAACAATAATAATCACCCTATTTATTATATTTCAACTAAAAATACTAAACTACCATTACCCCAACGACATCAAAACTAAATCAACCCTCCGCACAAAACAGCATACCCCTTGAGAAAAAAAATGAACGAAAATCTATTTGCCCCCTTCTCCACACCAACACTAATGGGCCTCCCCATCATCATCATTATCATAATATTCCCATCCATACTACTATCACGACCCAACCGCCTAATCAACAACCGACTCACCTCCCTCCAACAATGAGCAATCCAAATAACACTAAAACAACTAATAACAATACACAACACAAAAGGCCGCTCATGAACATTAATACTCACATCCCTAATCCTATTTATCTCATCTACCAACCTTCTAGGACTACTGCCATACACCTTTACCCCCACAACACAACTATCAATGAACCTAGGAATAGCCATTCCACTATGAGCCGGAACCGTCATCCTAGGCTTCCGACATAAAACCAAAAAATCATTAGCCCATTTACTCCCGCAAGGCACCCCAAACCCACTCATCCCTATACTAGTATTAATCGAAACAATTAGCTTATTCATTCAGCCCGTAGCCCTGGCTATTCGACTCACAGCCAACATCACCGCAGGACATCTATTAATACACCTAATCAGTAAAGCTGTCCTCACCCTAATTTCCATCAACATCACCACAGCCCTGATTACATTTACCATCTTAATCTTACTCACAATACTAGAATTTGCCGTAGCCATAATCCAAGCTTATGTATTTACTCTACTCGTCAGCCTTTACCTGAACGACAACACCTAATGAATCACCAAACTCATGCATTTCATATAGTGAACCCCAGCCCATGGCCCCTAACAGGAGCCCTATCCGCCCTCCTAATCACATCAGGACTAACCATATGATTCCACTTCAACTCCATAACCCTCATGCTACTAGGCCTACTAGCCTGTATCATGACCATATACCAATGATGACGAGACATTGTACGAGAAGGAACTTACCAAGGACATCACACACCAACAGTCCAAAAAGGACTTCGATATGGTATAGTACTATTTATCATCTCCGAAGTCTTCTTCTTTGCAGGATTTTTCTGAGCCTTCTACCACTCAAGCCTAGCACCCACCCCCGAATTAGGGGGACACTGACCTCCTGCAGGAATTAACCCTCTAAACCCAACGGAAGTCCCCCTACTTAACACGGCCATTCTATTAGCATCCGGAGTCTCCATCACATGAGCCCACCACAGCCTAATAGAAGGCCACCGAAAACACGTAATTCAAAGCCTCTTAACCACCATCATCCTAGGGATCTACTTCACCCTACTACAGGCCTCAGAGTACTTTGAAGCGCCTTTCACCATTTCAGACGGAATCTATGGCTCCACCTTCTTCGTAGCCACAGGATTTCACGGGCTACATGTTATCATTGGATCTACATTTCTAACAATCTGCCTCATTCGACAACTGCTATTCCACTTCACATCCAAACATCACTTTGGATTTGAAGCCGCAGCCTGATACTGACACTTCGTGGACGTGGTCTGATTATTCCTTTACGTATCCATTTACTGGTGAGGTTCATACTCTCTTAGTATAAACAGTACAGTTGACTTCCAATCAACCAGCCTCGGCACACCCTGAGAAAGAGTAATAAACATAACAATCTCATTACTGATAAACTTCTCCCTAGCCTCCATCCTCATACTAATCGCATTCTGACTCCCCCAAATGGACGCCTACGCAGAAAAATTAAGCCCCTATGAATGCGGATTTGACCCTATGGGATCCGCACGACTACCATTCTCCATAAAATTCTTCTTAATCGCCATTACGTTCCTGCTATTCGACCTAGAAATCGCCCTACTCCTCCCCCTCCCCTGAGCATCACAAACCAACAACCTCACCCTAATACTTACAGTCTCACTCATACTGATCTCAGTTTTAGCACTAGGGCTCTTCTACGAATGATCTCAAAAAGGACTAGAATGAGACAAATATGGTAATTAGTTTAAACAACAAAACAAATGATTTCGACTCATTAAATTATGATCCATCTCATAATTACCAAAATGTCCGCCATCTATATAAACATAACCATTGCTTTCATAGCATCCTTGATAGGAATAATAATATACCGATCCCACATAATATCATCACTACTATGTCTAGAAGGAATGATACTATCGATATTCGTAATGGCATCCCTAATCACACTAAACTCCCACTACACCCTATCATACACCATCCCCCTAGTTCTCCTAGTATTCTCCGCTTGCGAAGCAGCCATAGGTCTGGCCTTACTAGTCCTAGTATCAAACACCTACGGCTCAGATTACGTACAAAACTTAAACCTCCTGCGATGCTAAAAATTATTCTACCAACAATCATACTCATCCCAGTCACCTGACTATCAAAAAACTCACTATTATGAATCAACACCTCCTGCCACAGCTTACTCATCGCACTAATCTCCCTACCCACCCTCAACAAACTAGACATTAATAGCCACAATTTCTCAACAAACTTCTTCTCAGACTCCCTGTCATCTCCACTAGTAAACCTTACAGTATGACTCCTACCCCTAATAATCATCGCCAGCCAGCACCACATAAAAAACGAACCCGCCGTCCGAAAAAAACTATACCTCTCACTACTAATCACACTACAGGCCCTACTTATCATAACATTTACAACCTCAGAAATAATAATATTCTACATTCTATTCGAAGCCACACTAATCCCAACTCTAATTATCATCACCCGATGGGGAAACCAAGCGGAACGAATAAAGGCAGGACTATATTTCCTTTTCTACACTCTCACCGGATCCCTACCACTTCTAGTAGCTCTAACTTACCTAAAAAATTACCTAGGCTCACTGAACTTTATACTATTCAGCTACAAAGCATCTCCCCTTTTACCCACATGATCCAACAGCATACTATGACTCGCCTGCATCATAGCATTCATAGTTAAATTTCCATTATACGGCCTACACCTATGACTACCAAAAGCCCACGTAGAAGCCCCCATCGCCGGCTCAATAGTACTAGCCGCCATCCTACTGAAACTAGGAGGCTACGGAATAATACGAATCTCGCAACTCCTAGAGCCCCTCACAACCTCAATGAGCTACCCATTCATCTTATTATCCCTATGAGGAATAGTTATAACGAGCTCCATCTGCCTACGGCAAACAGACCTAAAATCCCTTATTGCCTACTCCTCCATCAGCCACATAGCCCTTGTAATCACAGCTATCCTCATTCAAACACCATGAAGTTATATAGGAGCCACAACCTTAATAATCGCCCACGGCCTCACATCATCCCTCCTATTTTGCCTAGCAAACTCCAACTACGAACGCACCCATAGCCGAACCATAATCCTAGCTCGCGGACTACAAACCATCCTTCCCCTAATAGCGCTCTGATGACTCCTCGCTAGCTTTACTAACCTCGCTTTACCCCCATCAATCAACCTAGTAGGAGAACTATTAATCATCACTTCAACCTTCTCTTGGTCAAACTTCACAATCATCTTGACCGGAATAAACGTGCTCATCACAGCACTATACACACTATACATGCTAATTTCCACACAACGAGGCACACCTCCCCACCACATCATCAACCTTCCCCCTTCATTCACACGAGAAAACACACTAATAACACTCCACCTACTCCCCCTGCTACTAATAACCCTCAACCCTAAAATCATCATGGGAAACCTATTCTGTAAAAATAGTTTAACAAAAACACTAGATTGTGAATCTAAAGACAGAGATTTAAACTCTCCTTTTTACCAAGAAAGTAAAGTAGAACTGCTAACTCTACATCCCATACTTAAAAACGTGGCTTTCTCACTTTTAAAGGATAGAAGCAATCCGTTAGTCTTAGGAACTAAAAACTTGGTGCAACTCCAAATAAAAGTAATAAACTTATATATCTCATCATTCATTATATCACTACTACTTCTCACCACACCTATCCCCCTATCTAGTATTAACTTTCCCAAAAACACATCATACCCCTCATACGTAAAATCAATTATCTCATTGTCATTCTTCATCAGCCTAATCCCAACCACCATGCTACTACTATCTAACCAAGAGGCAGTAATCTCCAACTGAAACTGAATACATATCCAAACCTTATCCATCAACATAAGCTTTAAACTAGACTACTTCTCCGTCACGTTTATATCCGTAGCACTATTCGTCACATGATCTATCATAGAATTCTCAATATGATATATACACTCTGACCCCGACATGAACAAATTCATTAAATACCTTCTCCTATTCCTCATCACCATAATAATCCTAGTCACCGCAAACAATGCTATACAACTCTTCATCGGCTGAGAAGGAGTAGGAATTATATCTTTCCTACTAATCGGATGATGACTGAGCCGATCAGACGCAAACACCGCAGCCCTACAGGCAATCTTGTATAACCGAATTGGTGATATTGGATTCATTATCTCCATAGTATGGTTTATAACAAACCTCAGCTCATGAGAAATACAACAACTATTCATTATACAAGACGAAATAAACTACATCCCCTTACTAGGCCTCCTACTGGCCGCAACTGGCAAATCCGCCCAATTCGGCCTCCACCCGTGACTACCTTCCGCAATAGAAGGGCCCACCCCAGTATCAGCCCTACTTCACTCCAGCACTATAGTGGTAGCCGGAATCTTCCTAATAATCCGATTCTATCCGCTAATCCAACACAACCAAACAATCTTAACTATATCAATGTGTTTAGGAGCGACCACAACACTATTCACCGCCCTGTGTGCCCTCACACAGAACGACATCAAGAAAATCATCGCATTCTCAACCTCTAGCCAACTAGGACTAATGATAGTCACCATTGGCATCAACCAACCACACCTAGCATTCCTCCACATCTGCATACATGCATTCTTCAAGGCCATGCTATTCATATGCGCCGGTTCAATTATCCACAACCTAAACAATGAGCAAGATATCCGAAAAATAGGAGGACTGTTCAAAATGCTACCCTTTACCTCCTCCTCACTAATTATCGGAAGTTTAGCCCTAACAGGCATACCTTTCTTAACAGGGTTTTACTCCAAGGACCTAATCATCGAATCCGCAAACTCATCGTACATTAATGCCTGAGCCCTATTAATTACGCTAATCGCCACATCCCTAACAGCCGTATACAGCAGCCGAATTGTGTTTTACGCACTACTAGACCACCCCCGAAGTACAACAACGCTTAACATCAATGAAAACAACCCTCTATTAATCAATCCCATCAAACGACTAGCAATGGGCAGTATCTTAGCAGGCTTCATCATCTCAAACAACATTCCCCCCACAAGCATCCCTCAAATAACCATACCTACCTATATTAAACTATCAACACTCATAGTTACAGCCCTAGGACTTATAACAGCAATAGAATTAATCATTATAAGCCACTACTTAAAAAACAAATACCCTAATAAATTATTTAACTTCTCAAACATGTTAGGGTACTTTACTCCCACCGCCCACCGCTTTATACCTTATAAAAAACTAATAATAAGTCAAAATCTAGCTTCCTCTTCCATAGACGCAATTTGATTAGAAAAGTCAGCCCCTAAAAATGTATCTGATATTCAATACACCGCATCAATATTTACATCAAACCAAACAGGATTAATTAAACTCTACTTTCTGTCATTCCTACTATCTTTCATAGTAGCTCTAATCCTATCTACCTAGTTACCTCGAATAATCTGCATAGTAATGAGAATTCCTGCAAACAATGACCATCCTGCCACAAACATCAGCCAGTAGTTATAACTATAAATAGCACCAACCCCAGTAGGACCCTCACTCAAGTAGCCCACACCACCCTCACCATCATAAATCACCCACTCCCCCATATTATTAAACTGCACAATAACTTCAACATAATCATAGTTTAACCAGACATAAGACAATAATCCTTCTATAAACAGGCTAAACAACATCACACTTCAAACAGCAACATTAGAAACCCAAGACTCAGGGTACTGTTCCATAGATATAGCAGTGGTATAACCAAACACAACTATCATACCACCTAAAAAAACTAAAAATACTATTAATCCCAAAAATGATCCTCCATAGCCTAAAATAATAACGCACCCTAATGCCCCGCTAACAATCAAAGATAGCCCTCCGTAAATAGGGGAAGGTTTTACAGAAAAACCTACACACCCAATAACAAATAAAATACTTAAAAAATAATAAACGTTTAAAGTCATAATTCCCACATGGGTTTAAACCATGACCTATGATATGAAAAACCATCGTTGTATTCAACTACAAGAACTAATGACCAACATCCGAAAATCCCACCCCTTAATCAAAATTATCAACCACTCGTTCATCGACCTGCCCACACCCTCCAGCATCTCCTACTGATGGAACTTCGGATCACTCCTAGGAGCCTGCCTAATCCTACAAATTATCACAGGTCTATTCCTATCCATACACTACACTGCAGACACAGCCACCGCATTCTCATCAGTAGCCCACATCTGCCGAGATGTAAACTACGGATGATTAATCCGATACTTACACGCCAATGGTGCCTCCATATTTTTCATCTGCCTGTATCTTCACGTAGGTCGAGGAATGTACTACGGATCTTACATATTCATAGAAACCTGAAACATCGGAATCATTCTTCTCCTATCAGTTATAGCAACTGCTTTCATAGGATATGTACTACCATGAGGACAAATATCATTCTGAGGTGCCACAGTCATCACAAACCTATTCTCAGCAATCCCTTACATTGGCCCAACACTAGTGGAATGAATCTGAGGAGGATTCGCAGTAGACAAAGCCACTCTGACCCGATTCTTCGCCTTCCACTTCATCCTACCATTCATCATCACAGCACTTACAATAGTACACCTGCTATTCCTACACGAAACTGGGTCAAACAACCCATCGGGCATCAACTCAGACTCGGACAAAATCCCATTCCACCCCTACTACTCATTTAAAGACTTCATAGGATTGCAGATCATACTACTCATTCTACTAACACTAACACTATTCCACCCAGACCTACTAGGAGACCCTGATAACTACACACCAGCAAACCCCATGAGCACGCCACCACACATCAAACCAGAATGATACTTCCTGTTTGCATACGCCATCCTACGCTCTATTCCCAACAAACTAGGAGGAGTACTAGCCTTGGTTATATCAATCCTGATCCTAGTCGCCCTACCATTCCTACACACATCCAAACAACGCAGCATAATATTCCGACCTATCAGCCAATGTTTATTCTGAACGTTCATCTCCACCCTCCTCACCCTAACATGAATCGGCAGCCAACCAGTAGAATACCCTTACATCATCATCGGCCAATTAGCATCAATCCTATACTTCCTCATCATCCTTATTCTAATACCCCTAGCAGGGTTAGTAGAAAACAAAATAATAAAATGAAGAGTCTCAGTAGTATAAACATTACCTTGGTCTTGTAAACCAAAAATGAGACCTTTCCTCCCTCCTGAGATACATCAAGAAAGAGAGAAGACCCCCGCCTTCAACTCCCAAAGCTGAAATTCTGACTAAACTATTCCTTGCAGGCTCTTATCAAAGAGTGTAGCAAACACAATCTATGTCATTCGTGCATTAATGCCCGACCCCATCCATAATGTACTAGTACATTAATGTGTAATCTTACATGAACCATATAATGTTTTATCCACATAACCCCACCCCCCCATGGATATCCTCCAACACATACCCTCCAGCCCTGACATTTCAGCTCGCCCGTATCGCACATTAGCGCATTAAGTCAAACCAATTCTCTTCAATATGACTATCCCCTTCCAATAGATCGTCTCTTAATCTACCATCCTCCGAGAAACCAGCAACCCGCCATACAAGGATCCCTCTTCTTGCTCCGGGCCCATCCATCGTGGGGGTGACTAACCTTGAACTTTATCAGGCATCTGGTTCTTACCTCAGGCACATAAGGATAAGATCGCCCACTCGTTCCCCTTAAATAAGACATCTCGATGGTTTGGTGCTTCCAGTCCGTGATCGCGACATAGTTAACCCATCCAGGCATTTGGTAGCTTTTATTTTTCGGTATGCCCGTATCAGCACAGTCGTCAAGACATGCACGCAGCCAAATTAAGTCAGGATTAGACTTATTAGTCAATTCTCTTATCACATGAGCCCCCCGAACACATATAGTCAATGATCGGATAACGGCATAATCTCGCATACTCTGGTCGACGGTGGTGTTAAGGCATACTTGTATCCTTGATCAACATAACCCCCTCAGACTGACTTTTTAATTAATGCTAGGGTGACATAGCAAATATTTGCACATCCATAAATGCAAAAAATGCAAAAAAACACATGATACATATTTTCTCAAATTACAATTTATTAAATTTGTACCCCCATGGGCACTCACTCCATTAAATTCCCATTTCATAGAGTGTACACAAATCACACACCATACCCTCCGCAACCAAACATCCCATTCTATGAAACCCCTACACAAACCAATACTACACAAACAACTAAACT